AGACTTCCTGAGACCTGGAACTTCAAGAACAAGAGGTCATAGATTTAAACTAGCTAAACACAGATGCCGAAGAAATATAAGAAAATTCACCTTCGCAAATAGAGTGGTAGACGGTTGGAACAAGTTAAGTGAGAAGGTGGTGGAGGCCAAGACCGTCAGTAGTTTCAAAGCGTTATATGACAAAGAGTGCTGGGAAGACGGGACACCACGAGCGTAGCTCTCATCCTGTAACTACACTTAGGTAATTACACACACACACACACACACACATGTGTCATGGATGATATCTATCATGGATGAAAAATTTTCTGACTGATAGAAAAATGAGAGCAGTAATCAGAGGCAATGTATCGGAATGGAGAAATGTCACAAGTGGAGTACCACAGGGTTCAGTTCTTGCACCAGTGATGTTTATTGTGTACATAAATGATCTACCAGTTGGTATACAGAATTATATGAACATGTTTGCTGATGATGCTAAGATAATAGGAAGGATAAGAAATTTAGATGATTGTCATGCCCTTCAAGAAGACCTGGACAAAATAAGTATATGGAGCACCACCTGGCAAATGGAATTTAATGTTAATAAATGTCATGTTATGGAATGTGGAATAGGAGAACATAGACCCCATACAACCTATATATTATGTGAGAAATCATTAAAGAATTCTGATAAAGAAAGAGATCTAGGGGTGGTTCTAGATAGAAAACTATCACCTGAGGACCACATAAAGAATATTGTGCAAGGAGCCTATGCGATGCTTTCTAACTTCAGAATTGCATTTAAATACATGGATGGCGATATACTAAAGAAATTGTTCATGACTTTTGTTAGGCCAAAGCTAGAATATGCAGCTGTTGTGTGGTGCCCATATCTTAAGAAGCACATCAACAAACTGGAAAAGGTGCAAAGACATGCTACGAAGTGGCTCCCAGAACTGAAGGGCAAGAGCTACGAGGAGAGGTTGGAAGCATTAAACATGCCAAAACTAGAAGACAGAAGAAAAAGAGGTGATATGATCACTACATACAAAATAGCAACAGGAATTGATAAAATCGACAGGGAAGATTTCCTGAGACCTGGAACTTCAAGAACAAGAGGTCATAGATTTAAACTAGCTAAACACAGATGCCGAAGAAATATAAGAAAATTCACCTTCGCAAACAGAGTGGTAGACGGTTGGAACAAGTTAAGTGAGAAGGTGGTGGAGGCCAAGACCGTCAGTAGTTTCAAAGCGTTATATGACAAAGAGTGCTGGGAAGACGGGACACCACGAGCGTAGCTCTCATCCTGTAACTACACTTAGGTAATTACACTTAGGTAATTACACACGAAAGAAAGAAGAAAATAAGGAGGTTGAAGCAGTTGAAAAACCAGACTTCAGGAGAGGACATTATGGTGACCTTAGAAATTTTTTTAGTGAGTATAATTGGACAGACTTGATTCTAGGCAAGGAAGTGAATGAGATGTATGTCAAGTTCTGTGAAATATATGATAAAGGCACAAAAAACTTTATACCAAAACAGAGATGCAGGGCCAGAAAACAGGATTGGTTCGACAGAAATTGTGAGAGGGCAAGAGACCAAAAGACACAAAAATGGAATCAGTATAGGAAGAGGCCAAACCCCCAAACATACCAGCGATACAAAGATGCGAGAAACAACTATACAGCAGTAAGGAGAGAGGCAGAAAGAAATTTTGAAAAAGGGATAGCGGATAAATGTAAAACAGAACCGGGATAATTCTACAAATTCATAAACAACAAATTGCAGGTAAAGGATAATATCCAGAGGTTGAAAATGGGAAACAGATTCACGGAAAATGAAAAGGAAATGTGTGAAACATTAAATGAAAAGTTCCAAAGTGTGTTTGTACAAAATGAAATCTTCAGAGAACCAGACACAATAAGAATTCCAGAGAACAACATAGAGCGGATAGAGGTGTCTAGAGATGAAGTGGAAAATATGCTAAAGGAGCTCGGTAAGAACAAAGCAGCTGGCCCAGATGGAGTTTCACCATGGGTTCTGAGAGAATGTGCATCTGAGCTCAGCATTCCACTTCACCTGATCTCTCAGGCATCCCTGTGTACAGGAGTCGTAGCAGATGTGTGGAAACAGGCTAACATAGTTCCAATCTACAAAAGTGGCAACAGGGAAGACCCCCTCAATTATAGACCTGTATCATTGACAAGTGTAATAGTCAAAATATTGGAAAAAATAATAAAAACTAAATAGGTATGTGACGGGTTGTGGTATCGCAGCTATACTGAACCAAGATGGTATGGCTCTCCCGCACATAATAAAACAAAAATGCTGCTATTGGCCCTGCAGTGTGTAAGTCGCAGGTGGAAACAAATAAAAATTATCAAATAAATAATTAAACATATTACTGAAATATTAATGAACATAAATGCCCCTGAAAATACTTGGCTCTCATGTAATGCAAAAGTGAACAAGTTAGTATGATCTTAAATGTAAAATCTCTTCAGTACACCATCTTAAATGGTGTACTGAAGACAGCTACCATACCACCATGGCATCAATCACACGACATTGGCTGAAGGTGGATGACGGGTGAGAGACACTTAGGTGATCCTAGAGCACTAAGGGAGAGACTGGCTCTCCAGGGAGGCAGCACCCTTTATATAGTCCTGCAGTGATGACTCATCCAGTGTCAACACGAGGTGGACATTGATCAACTAGCAAACTGCTCATTATGGCTGGCGGTGCCTTTGTGTTGAGCTGCACCACTTGTTTGAAGGCTGCTGACTGCTTGTTTGTGGGGGCAAACTACCGGTTAGCAGAGGCACCCAGCTTGCCTCTGAGTCATACCAGGCCGTGGCAGGCCCTGGGGGGTATGGAGAGGTGGCAGTACTGATGACTCATCTGGGCTGGTGTAGATGTATACTTCCAGTGCAGAGGCATTGAAGGTGAAGGAAAAAGGCAGTTCCACTGCTATGCAGGGGATTCACATGACAGGGTAGAACACCTGGAAAGAAATAATATACATATCAGACAGACAGTATGGTTTTCGATCTGGAAGATCCTGTGTATCGAATTTATTCAGTTTCTATGATAGAGCCACAGAGATTTTACAGGAAAGAGATGGTTGGGTTGACTGCATCTATCTGGACCTAAAAAAAGGCTTTCGAAATAGTTCCACATAAGAGGTTGTTCTGGAAACTTGAAAATATTGGAGGGGTGACAGGTAAGCTTCTAACAGGGATGAAAAATTTTCTGACTGATAGAAAAATGAGGGCAGTAATCAGAGGCAATGTATCGAACTGGAGAAATGTCACAAGCGGAGTACCACAGGGTTCAGTTCTTGCACCGGTGATGTTCATTATCTACAGAAATGATCTACCAGTTGGAATATAGAATTATATGAACATGTTTGCTGATGATGCTAAGATAATAGGAAGGATAAGAAATTTAGATGATTGTCATGCCCTTCAAGAAGACCTGGACAAAATAAGTATATGGAGCACCACTTGGCAAATGGAATTTAATGTGAATAAATGCCATTTTATGGAATGTGGAATAGGAGAACATAGACCCCACACAACCTATAAATTATGTGAAAAATCCTTAAAAAATCTGATAAAGAAAGAGATCTAGGGGTGGTTCTAGATAGAAAACTATCTCCTGAGGACCACATAAAGAACGTTGTGCAAGGAGCCTATGCCATGCTTTCTAACTTCAGAATTGCATTTAAATACATGGATGGAGAAATACTAAAGAAATTGTTCACGATTTTTGTTAGGCTAAAGCTAGAATATGCAGCGGTTGTGTGGTGCCCATATTTTAAGAAGCACATCAACAAACTGGAAAAGGTGCAAAGACATGCTGCTAAGTGGCTCCCAGAACTGAAGGGCAAGAGCTACGAGGAGAGGATAGACCCATTAAATATGCCAAAACTAAAAGACTGAAGAAAAAGAGGTGATATGATCACTACGTACAAAATAGTAACAGGAATTGATAAAATCGACAGGGAAGATTTCCTGAGACCTGGAACTTCAAGAACAAGAGGTCATAGATTTAAACTAATTAAACAAAGATGCCAAAGAAATATAAGAAAATTCACTTCTGCAAACAGAGTGGTAGATGGTTGGAACAAGTTAAGTGAGAAGGTGGTGGAGGCCAAAACCGTCAGTAGTTTCAAAGCATTATATGACAAAGAGTGTTGGGTAGACGGGACACCACGAGCGTAGCTCTCATCCTGTAACTACACTTAGTAACTACTGTAACTACCTACATCCTGTATATATATGATATATATATACAGGTTGATATATATTTGGTTGAGAAGCAGGACCAAAGAGCCAGAGCTCAACCCCCACAAGCACAACTAGGTAAGTACACACTTGCAAATAAAGAGAAACAAGTGATAAATGATAAATGACACCTCTGGGGAGAAGACAGTAGTCCTGTGTCTCACATACCTCAACGTCAGCAAAGTTGGGCATCGTATGTTGACGGACACCAGACCATAGCCACTGCCCAACCTTTCAGAGCGCCTCCACCCAGTAAAAGAAGAAAATTCACTCATTTTCATGTTTTTGTATACAAATTATCATTCTATGTTGACCAGACCGCACACTAGAAAGTGAAGGGATGACGACGTTTTGGTCCATCCTGAACCATTCTCAAGTCGATCGTGATGAGGGAAGCGATAATAATTTGATTGTAATAATAATTCTGTAATGAAAAATTATTTATTGAATGTTTTTCATTTTTTTGCACATAGGAAGGAATGATCATTATTCTATGGCCGCTGTTCAAGGGTTAAGACTGCTTTTGATACAATTCATTATAATGACGGAACACCATGAGCATAGCTCTTCTCTAGTAAATACAGTTAGGTAGAATAATAACAATTTAGAAATAATACACAAATATACATGCTTGCACCCTATCATTTACCCACTCCTTCTTTCCCTTCCACTCATTCATTCATTTGCAAACACTTGCATATCTTAATTGATAATGTTATTTTTCAGTCTGTCGTTTGCTTTCTGAACGTACAATCGGGAGAGATAAAGTGCCAGGAACTGGAGGATGGTTTGTGCCCGGGCCAGCTGGTGTGGGCTCCAGGCGACGATGGCATCTTCGGAGTGGCCTTTGTCAGTAAACCCTACCGATTAGGACTCTTATATTGCCACAACCGAGAATCCAAACTCTTCCATATGGATTTGGAAGGCAACTACAGTATGTGTAGTTAAGGGTTCAGTTTATGGTGTAACAGTTGACCTTTCATTCACTAGATTATTTTGGGATATAACAATTTCTGAATAATATTTATTACTTATAAAAGTCCTTAATGCATCATTTGTTTTCTTATTTTCAGTAAATAATCTGTATGTTTTACTTGATGCAATAACAGAATTACAAATTGTATGGAAAGCCACATATAATTCCTTACTTTTAAGTCCAATTGACTGTAGCAGCGGTCTAAGTTCTTGGTTCACAACTGAAGGACCCGGGATCCATTCCTGGCTGGGACAGAAATGGTCGGCTACATTGCCTTTCACCTGATGCCTCTGTTCACCTATCAGTAAAATGGATAGCCAAGAGTCAGGCAATGGTTGTGGGGTGCATCCTGGGAAGGTTAGTAGTAGGCCTAAGGGGACTTCTATAGACCCAAGTACAGGCTTTCTGTCCCCAAGTATGGGAATTATTAATATTTCTGTATGCAGACGAGAAGTCACAATAGTATGGCTGAAATATGTTGACCAGCCACACACTAGAAAGTGAAGGGATGTTGACGTTTCGGTCTGTCCTGGACCATTCACAATCGACTTGAGTACTTGAGTACAATCGACTTGGACCATTCTCAAGTCGATTGTGAATGGTCCTGGACGGACCCAAACGTCGTCGTCCCTTCACTTTTAAGTGTGTGGTTTGGTCAACATTAATATTTCTATTTGTAGTGTAGAATTTATAATCATTATTGTCTAAATGTGGCCTAAATGCTGTCATTACTTCATACCCAATTGTCAGGTATAATTGAAGAGGGCGGAAACATTCGAAGCCCTTGTGTAAGCCCCGATGGATCCAGCATCATGTACCTGTTCTCGAAGGTTGGTGGACCCCATGCCAAGTGTGCCCAGCTGTGCCTTCTCTCCTGGCCTAACAAGCAAGTATGATCTATTTAGGATTTTGTATATGAGTTGTGTTTTTTCTGGGGGGAGCCCCGTCGGCTCCACGGAGCTATCCAGGCTGATTGGATATGTATAACTTTCTGGCATCAGTCAAAGTGCTAGGAGTTCTTGCCTACCAGGGACCACGAGCCAGAACCTGGCCCCCTCAGAGAGGCACGAGGAGCAATGGCCTATAGAAACCCCTTTGTGATTGGGAGCATTCTATGTCTGCCATCGACCGGGACAGGCACCCAGAAAGGTAGGTGCCCCAAAACAAACCCCTATTCTGGTGAAATTATTGCTACCGAAAGCCGAACGAGTGGACAAAACTCCCCAAACAAAATTATCAAACTAGCATGGCGTCATCACGTCGCCGCGCTACCGTCTGCGCAACCCCCCCCCCCCCCCCGAAAGGGGGAAGGGGGAGCCCCAGACCCTCCACGCCGGCGATCCAACTGGCAGTTCTTGGCTGATGGTATTACTGGCTGGTCGAGTGCCTCTGGCTCCGGTTTTTGTTTCAGTTCTGTGCCTTGTGGTGTGGACTGTCTCTACCGGTGGGGTGTGAGCCAGGAGTAAGATTCCACGGTACTCGGGCGTCATGTGCCTAGGGCTATCTTCCCTAGGTGTTCTGTAAGTACTACCCTTGGGACTTGGGGCCACCTTCCACAAGTCACCTTGGGTTCTGCCTTCACTGTGTCCTTTACTGCTCGGTACTGGGCCGCCCTTGGAGTCGGCTGGGGTTTTGTTGCCCTGGTTTGTCTCTGGGTAGGTCGTAGTTTTCGTCACTGGTAGGAGCACGGGGTACTGCACAGCTAGTTTTCACCATTAACAGCTGCCGGCTCTGTTCCGCCTGGGTATGTTGTCCTATTGCAGGGTTTTTCTTTTGTTTTTGTTTTTGCCTGGTGGAGGGTCTGCCTTTACTATGGTCCCCCTTTCCTGTTCTAGGTGATTTTCTTTCGAATTCTTCTGTTGGCGATACTCCCCGCTTGGCCCCCGTGAGTGTTCACGTCCCGGGGGTTCAGCTTTAGCAGTTTGTTGGTAGATTTGGGCGCCGGTTCGCGGTACCCTGCCTGGGCTTCCCTTAGCGTGTACCAAAGGCTAAGGGCCCTGGGAAACCCCACGGGGGCTCCGTGGTCCTCTAGCTGTGTCCCTGGAGTCCCCCTGGAGTCCTGCGAGTTGACGGTTGATCTGTCCCCTTGTCTCAGGGTGACACTCACCGGTTGTTCCTCCTCCATGCTGCCTGTTGGGTCCTTGTTCTTGTGACCCGGAGTCGTCCGATGATTGTTGTCGGTACGCGCTCTCCTTCACCCAGGCCACTGGTCTTGATAATCGGGTGCAGGCGGCTGCGGCGTTGCTTGCTGGGTGTGTGTTTCTGCAACGCTCTTGGTTTGCGGCCCCGGATGCCCCGAGACTGCCCGGTTTTGGTGGTAGTGGTCTGGACTTGGGGGTGGGGGTCGCTTCGGCTCTGGCTCTTTCCGCTTCTTGTTCCTCCCCTTCTGTTCTACTCACTTCCTCCCTTGCTTCCTGCTCCGAACTATAGGCGGGTTTCGGGGTTGGGGCGGGGTCTGGTTGGGTTGAGACTCGGGCGGTCTCGGGGGTTTTCCTCTTCCGGGGTGGCAGCAGAGGCATTCGAGTTGGTTCCTCCAGCCGTGCCGTATGGGTCTGACCAGTGGGCTCCCTTCATTAGTGTTTGCACGGCTGCCCCGGCTTTTCCTTGTTAAGCTGGGGCTTTGGGGGTGCGGCTTGGCTCTGGGTCATGCCGTAGAGGTTCCCGGGGTTAGGAAGGGGTTGCCTGGGGGGCCTCGGCCCCGTTTGCCCCTCTTGGGTCCTTGTACCTTTGGTGTGGGGCTGGTAGTTCCTCAGTGGGGTTGTTCCTTCCCTCTGTGTTACTGTTGTTTTCGGGTATACCCCTCCCTGGGTTCGGTTCCGTGTTCCTTCGGGTTCGTCGGTCCTGTCGTTCCTGGGGGTGTTTTTCACCCCCTTTTCCTTACCCTTTTCACTCTTATGGCACGATGCTGTTCAAAAAAAAAAAAAAAAAAAAAGTGTTCAGGTAAGGTACATCCATACAAGGTGTGAAACAAACATTGATGGATTTCTATCTTGGCCTAGTACATAGTGCCTCAACCGTTTCGTATCATTGTACCTGCAAGTTCCTTGGTCAGGGGTGCTTGTCGGGGTTCTAAATAATAAAAATAAATGTTTATTTAGGTAAGGTACATACGTAAAAGAGATTTTACAAAGAATGATGAATTTATAGATAGGGCTAGTACATACAATGCCTAAAGCCACTATTACGCAAAGCGTTTCGGGCAAAGCGTTCTCGTTGGTTCGCGAGTCTCTTCGTACCTTCCAATATTATTGGAACGTCTGTTGATTTTTGATGTGGTTTCCATCGGGTCTTTTGTCGGCCTTGTTGGTTCCCTTCCATCATCTGTTTTCTTTTGCTATGTTTTCGCCTTGTTTTGTTTTCGCTTCATCTCTACTTCCAGTTTCGGCGTTCTTTGTCTTTCGTTCCGCACACCTTCCTGGTGTTTGTACGATGTCTGTACGTTGTGTGTACGATCTGTGTCCGCCTGGTGTACGAGCCACGCCTCCCGGTGGACGGGTGGTGCGTTTCGTACCTCGTGTGCTGGGGCCGTGGTGTGCGTTTTGTTTACGGGCGGTATGCTCGTGTGTTTGCGCCGTTTCTCGTGGTTTTCTACGGCTTCTTGCTCGTTTCTCCCTCCATTTGTGGCCCTCTGGATGCTGAGGGTGTTTTGGATTTATATCTGGGGGTGTCACTTTGTTCTCCCTCTGTACTGCTTCGTCTTCTGCAGGGTGCGCGCCTCTGGCCGTATTTCTCCTTCGACCTCGCATTTTATTCAGGTAAGGGTACATACTATGCCTACTGCCTCGAGTCTGCATGGCTTTCGGGCACACCTTTAGCGCTGCTCCTGGTGTGTTACTTGGCTCGCCTGTGTTGTGGCACGGTTTTGTCTGCTCTGCAGGTGAGGTTGTCTTGTCTGGCGCTTCTGTCGGCCTAGTGCTGGTTCTCACTTTTGGTGGGGTGCTTGCCTAGTTGTGCTTGCGGGGGTTGGCTCTGGCTCTTGGGCCCCGCTTCTCCTGTCAGTTGACGATTGTGCAGTTTCCTGAGCCTTCTGGGCTCTGTCTTCACGTTTGCTCCTGTGGGTGGCTTCTGCCTCCTCCACATGGCTTTTTGGTGCTTTTCGCTTCCTTTCCCCTCTGACAATGAGGTTCTTTTAGTGTCTGTGGCTCCTTTGGGTGCTCACTACCTCCTGTGTCTCCTTGTGTGTACAAACATATGGACATAAGTACAGTGGACCTGCGGAGGGCCTATTGGCCCGTGCGAGGTTGCTACTGTTTCTTACCATCCATTCCCACTCACATACATGTCCAACCCGCCCTTGCACCAATCGTGGGGCCCCACCACCACGTTACGTGGTATTTAGTTCCGCGCGTCACCAGGCCTATTACAGTGCAGGTCATTCCTCCGGTCTTTCCTGATTCTGCGCTTATCCCTTTTATGTCCGTTGTTTCGTGCCCACAATGTGCCGCAAGGGTGGCTTGTGCCACTATCCCAGTTTCTATTGTTTCATGGGGATTGGTCAATAAACACAAACACTAAGGAACTACTTATCTTTTGTTGCATATACAATAGTTGTGGGTGATATTTTGGCGGGCAATGGTGCGGGTTGGGCGCTCTGAGTGTCGATACGGTGTCTCGCATGTCTGTTCTAGACCACACTTGCAGGTAGTCTAGTTATTCTTTGCTACTCTGCTGGTTATATGCTTGGGCGCTGCCTCACAGTTCTCCACAGGTTGGCAGGACTTTTCCTTGGACGTATGGAACGGTTTGAGTTCCATCGTTATACTTTGGAGAGCTTTGCTTCTCTGGTTAGGCTCATGCGTTTGGAGCGAGTATCTTCTTGGGATACTCTCCTCACTCCGCCACCCTTGTTTACTGTTCCATCCTTGTTTCCTCTTCCCCCGCTTGGCGGGATTGCGTCGATGGCTCCTGACTGGGGTGTTTGGTGTGGTGTTTGGTCACCTTGCATGTGTCGTTAGTGCCTTTTTTGTTCATCTTTTGTTCTTTGTTGTCCTGTGGGGCTCTGCCCCGCATTTTGGTGCTTTTGTTTTCGTTGTCGACCCCTGGGTTTTTTCCCTGTCTGGACACTTTCCTTGCCTATCTTTGGTGCCTGGCTGCACCCTGCTGTCCGTAAGGTCCCTCAGGTATGTACGCGCTCCTCTACACATTTTGTGGTTGGTCATGTGCGTTACTTCCCGGCTGCTCCTTGGGCCGTTTTCGTGGTTTCCTTACTTATTTCCGTTTTTCCTCCCCATGCTACACTTTTTTGTGTCTGGGTAAGTGCTTCTTGGTTATCCTGTTTGGTGCTCGGGTGGGCCTCTGTCCATGTTCCACGTCCTGCTTTTGGACTTCTCCGGTGTTCCGTTTTGGTACCAAGTTCCTGCGATTTCTGTGTGGTTTTCTGCAGGCTTTGGGTTGCGCTGTCTGTGGGGGGGGTGTAGACTTTTCGGTCTGCCGCTCCTGCTTTCCTGGTTCCTTTTCTTGGAACCGGGTTTGCTGGGTTCCGGTCCTGGTTTCGGTTTTTCTTTGTTCCTTTTCCGGACCGGGTGTGTTTGCTTTCCTGCGGTTTCTCGTCCTCGGTAGTTCTCCTCTTGGATGCCTCGGGGATGCGTGTCTCATTCTTCCCTGCTGGAGCTGGTTATGTTGCTCCTTTGGGTTGCGAGGTCGCTGTTTTTAGCTTCGCGTTTTGCGAATCTGAACACAGGTCCCAGGTTATTGGGACCAGGTTATTGGTCTCCCACCTGCGTGTTTCGTCTCGGGGGCAGTGTGTGGATTTCATATCATTGCGAAGGGTCCTTCGGTCTTTGATAGGGTTGGCTTGTCTTCCCTTCGGGGTTGTTCTGGGACCGTCGTCTGGGATTGTCCTGTCACCTCATGTTGGGTGGTGCTGGCAGAGCCGCTCCTGCTTACGTTC